AATAACAAGTGCAGAAGTGGAGCAATGGCTTGAGTCAATTATGACATATTTTTCTTTTATGAACATTTCTGTTAAAAGCATAGAAGAAATCCCTCTGATTTTTGATGGCTTCAAAAACAGCCTACAGAGAAGGTCAGGCCAATACTCTGAGGATGTTGTTGGCGCTATGGATCCCGTGCCTGCATAAATTTCTTTCATTTGCTCATAACATAAATTTTCAGGTGTAAAGGACAGAAAGCAGATGGTGGTGGGAATCTCTTGGCTTTCCTCTTTCCCTGCTTGCAGAACGCATCCGTGCAAGACAGGATGGTACCAGAAGGTGACACACGTTCTCCCTGGAAGGACTCCTACTGTGGCAAACTGACAGTATCTGCTGTGGTTACATTACGCTGCCTTCACAACTGATGGGAATCCCTCCTGGGACTGCAGGAACAAAGTCACTAGAATAACTGCCAGGTTGAGCCTTTTGATTTTCAGTATGAGGGCATTTTTACATCTGGCCTGAGAAAATATGTCCATAGTCTTTCAAAAACTTTAATTGAAAGCTTATGTGTGTGTCCAAGGATGCTCCTAGGGAAGCATCCCCTAGACTTTGCTCCAGGGTACCCTCTGTGGGCAGAAGGCTACAGAAAGTAGTTTCAGCTGGTCACAAGAGTCACGTGAGGACTTATATTGAATATATTTCAGCAGGTGGCAAACACTGGGGCTGCAAGGATGTATAGGGTCTTACAGCTGTTTGGTAGGCCATGCACCACACTCTACTGCTGTCTAAAGAAAGGAAATTTTGTGGACTTAAGGTTCATTGACTTGGAAATTTGGAATCACTTCTCTGAAACTGAAATCAGTAAGTAGACTTCTGCTTGAGTGCTTGTTGCCTCAAGCCTTTACCCCCACATTCAGGAACAGGAGCAATGTTACCATGACACAGTAGATATCTCACAAAACTTACAATTTATCCTCTGCCAACTTACTTTTGAGACTGGGATCAAATTATAACACAATGATACAGGATAGTAGCAGTGATCACCATTAGACCATCTAATCTTTTTTTTTTTTTTTTTTTTTTTTTAAAAAGAAGCCACAAAATGCTGTTCTTCAAGTCTTTCTCCACAAATGCAAGGAGTGAAAGAGTTTAGTTCTAACTTGTGGTATTTTTTTTTACAAGTTTTAAGCTGGTCTTCCAAAGTGATCCCTTTTCTTCCTGTTTTGAGTTAATGAATTTTAACTTCAGTACCACAAATAGTTCTGATCACTCTCATTGAAGAAAGGTGAATTGGAACTGGTAGATGCAGAATACGGCAGTGAGAAAGATCAGACAGACAAGGATTCCGCTTTACGGTAGGAAATTGAAGGGAAAGATTTGTTTAACCTTGCAAAACAAAAGCAGAAATGGGATATGTTTGCTGTCTGGAAATGTATCAGGTGGGTAAATACCAGAGAGGAGAAAAGGAGCCATGGATGCTTCAGAATACAAATGACCAGGAATAAATTCAGGCTTGAAATTAGAATATGGTTTCTAGGCATTCAAACAGTAGTCCCACAAATGGGATTCGTGACTGCTTTTAAGACAGAACTTGCTGTGGTTACAAATGGGAAAGGCTGGCGTGGTGCTTTTATTAGTGGGCTAGACTGAATGACCTGGCAGGTCCCTACTAGTTTTGTCTTCCTACCATTAATGCGTTGAAAAACTATCTTGGAGATAATACTGTGATGACAGTGAGACACACACCCAGCAGATTTCTTCCTTCCTAAGCAGTAGGTCCTCTTCATAATTTTAAATTGTCTTCTCCTATGGATTGCAGTATCTCCTGGTTTGACTCTTGCCTTGGGTAAAAAATGCTAATCCTTCTAGAGATGGGCCTGATACATTTTGAGGACAGCACTTACCTGCAAGTCAGACACCAAAGCCAAGCTGAGAGGATTTTTTGGTCCTGACCCACCTCATTCTAATGAAGTCAGATCCAAGAGCTGGGTCCCATAAAGACTTGTATGGGAGATAAACCTTTTTTAGCCCATCTTCTTTGGGTTAGCTTTTCAGGGGCAAAGAAGCTGCTCTGCAGAGTCGGCCAGTACAGTTGTAGAGGAGGAGTAAAACTGGTGTGAAGAAACCTATCGCAGAATGCACTGTGAACAGATACTTCTGGGTATTTGAACAGATATTCCTACCTGCTCTAGCACTGATATTTTTTTCCTGAATGGTTTTCAGCAAGCAGAATTGCTATAGGGTCCAAGCAGCAGCATCCTCAAGAAAGCAATTCTTCTGTGCACCTGAAATATTCCACACAAGGGAAATTTGGGATTACCTCTTCCCCTGCAGATCAAACTGTGCTGGTGAATTTCCAGCCATAGATGATGACAAGACAGATTATTTTGTGTTGCGGAAGAAAAACAGAGGTAAAAAGGTAAGTTGACAGAGGCTAAAAAAAATTAAAAGAAAGCAGATCGTATACTCTGGAGATTTGGGTAGCCCTAAAAAGAAGACAGATGGGTTCCGGTAAGTGACAGTCCAATTTCATTTGATGTTCCTGAAGCTGTGGGAAGAAATTACCCTTTTAATGTGGAGTCACGGCTCCTTGAAGTGGATGAGAAAATTGGCTGAATTACACCCAGAGGGTGTCAGTGCCACAGTTTGGCAGAAAACCTGGACTTAGAAGATGTGAAGACGAGAGCCTTTCTGTGGAGAATGGAGCTGCTCTGACTCACAAGTAATGACCAAGCCGTGAGCAAATGAGACACAACAGACCTGTATGACAGTTTCCCTGAATTTTGCTTGGGGGCTGATGGTGGAAGAAATGGCTTAAAGCTCTCAGTGGCAAAATCGTTGAAGAAAAGACCTCTGTGATGAATAAGTACATATTGTAGAGAGTTTTTACTGTATTTTTCTTGCTCCATTATTATTTTGATATATTTGTTTCTTGTGATCACTTCAAGGAGAACTCTTTCCTAGCAGAGATTTACCAGTGATGCTCTGACATTAATTCCTGTTTTGCTCTGGAGCCTGTAATAATTGGCAACAGAGCTGCAATCATGGACAAGCTAATAATGAAAGGGATGGTTTGGAGATGTTCAAAGGAAAAGGGGAACCTCAGGTATAGTGGTCCACAGGTACAGCTGTTTTGCACAATTTTTGGCAATTCTGCGGTGCAAACACAGCCCTGCCAGTCTTGAAACTGTTTTCATGAGCATGCGTATTGTAAGTGTGCCATGGGCTGTGGGTCAGTTAATCCATTAGTGCAACACAGAAACTAGTAAGATAGCAGAGATCAGAACAGGTTACATGATACATTCAGACATGACCATGTCTGGTAGAAACAGTGCCCACACAAATCAGTGCTCCAAGAAAATAGCATTGGCCAATTTGGGCTATGGGAGTAATAGCAAAGTATAATCAATAAAACCGTGACGTTAGTGAGTTGGAGAATGTTTGTGGCATGGGGCATCTCAATGCTCCCAGTCTGCCCCAAATGTGTAGTAACCTTCCATCACCACTACTGTCTAGATCAGCGGTGTACAGGGGAAAATAGGCCAGCTAAATCTCTCACAGGTCCAAATTGTTCTTGTTTTGGAGCACACCATGTTAAATGGTCGGTGAGATATTTGGCCCTGAATGCAGTTTGTTTCCTTGCTTGCTTCCTTGCAATATCGCAATATTTTACAGTCTGTCAGAACTCTGTGGTACCTCTCCTTGCTCCTTGTGCTTAGGTAATACAATTTTATATGTAGTTCATCAATTCACCTAACCTCTAGTTTATACTAACCTTTATACTTGTAATTTATACTAACCATGCATAACCTTTTTAGTTTAATATGCATCATGTGGCAGTTGTGAAACACCAGTCCTTTTATTTTACTCATCTTTAAGTCCAGATTTATTGGCTGTCAGCATAAATAGCTATTCTTGCCCTTGTCTTGTTGTCTGGTCTTTAAAATAGGGATAAGAAAGGTGAAGATTCAGATTTACTTCACAGGAGTTTTTGAAGGTTAATGTAATTAATATTTGCCAAGTATTGGCTGGAATGCACTAGGGGATTGCAAGGCCTTCCTGCAATTCCAAATGAGATATCTGGTGCCTAATAAATACCTGCAAATGGACAAAATGGAGCCGTCAGAGGAACTTTTTTCCTCTGGCTTTTATTCATCCAAATCATCTTGGGATCCTCTCATCCCAACTTCAGTATGAGGGTTCAAGGAGTATACGAAGCTATACTGAAAAATACTTATCAGCCAGCTGCTGGTGGTGACATCAGCTTGGCCTGTAACAGGGAACAAAGCATGTATTACTAACTCCTGCTAAATAAAGCCCATGACTTGTCATCGTTTTTCCTTTTTAAAGAGCAGATTTCCTTATGGGAAAAAAAAATAAAAAAATCACAACACAACACAACGCCAAGGCAACGAGTCTCGTTCCAGTACTTTCAGGTTCTGTTTTTATTGCTCTCAGCTCTCTCCTACTTCCAATTATTTATGGAACAAGCTCTGAGTCACATGGTGGAGCCGGAATGATTCAGGAGTTTGTTGAGCGAAGGGAAACAGGAAAAGAAGGGCCTGGCGGTTCAGGCAAATGACATCAGTGCTTCGGCATCCCGTCCCGGGCCTCGAAAAACTCAGCCCTTGCTGCTAGAAGCACTGCGGAGCAATACTCAGAGGCAGAAGCGGTTTGTTTTTTTGGCTGGCCTGCAAAATAACACTGGATGTGGTCTTGCAAGGTGTACGGGTAGCGACGAGTCAAGTGGGAGATGCGGATATGTAAATTGTAGCAAGGGATATAGCCGAAAGTATTGAAGAAAAAGCCCATCAAAATGGGCGATTGTGCATCTGCAAAAAGCACAGAAACTGCAAGGAGTGTCTAATCTTCTTCATATTTCTTAGCCGATTGCCAGCGCAGGTTTGCTTGGCCGGATTTTCTTATTTTTCCTTCTTGAAAGTAGGGATTATGCCTAGGTGACAATTCCTGTGTACTCTGCAAGCACAAAGCTAGCAAAGAATTATTTATTTTCCAGGATAATGAAAAGGAAGCCGCCAGACACTCATCGCAGACAGATATCCTTTATCCCTGGGTTCTTGAGACTGTGCTTCTGTACCACGTAAGAGATTAGCTGGAAAATCTTGAGATGCTAAAGCAGCATGTTTGCAGTGACATAGTTTCCTTTCAAAGTGGCTTTGGCTTAAGGACCACTCAGTAGCACATGCTGATAAGAGTCGGTGAAATCCAGCACATTGCTGTAGCTCAGTAGACAGTGCCTAGGACAATGGGCGTCTCTGCAGCTGCTACAATAAAAGAACAGCACAAAAATCTATGGCAGTGCCTGGTTCTTACATATCCCAATGAAAAAATTAAAACTGGGTCATATGTTGGTGGAAACAAAATCAAGTATATGTTCATGTTAAAATATTTTCTTTTTTTAAACTTGATTTGCATAAATGTATGGGGTCCCAGCACTGTTATTGCATTAGTTGCTTACTCTAGTCCAGTGTGTACAGTTTTTAAGGAACATGCGTATATGTGCTGTTAGTAATGATGTTTTACTGACATAGTATCTAAGAAAACACGCCTTGTGACAAGCTGGTGAAAAACTATTTTGTAAAACAAGCTCAAACATATTTTACAACCCCACTTTGGTTCTGTTTTCTGCATTAGGGTTTTCTTATTGAAATGACTGAAAGAGCCCTGTTTTAGCCTCTGCAGCATGAGGTGTTCAGCTCTGTTTTAGAGAGAGCAAAGCCAAAGCATGGAGCGCTAAGACAGTGTGCCAGTGTGGGATGGGGATGTGCACGCTGCTGCAACCACTGCTACTTTAACCCCTGTCACTCTTCCAGGCTCTGCATATTGCCCTGGGGGAGCGTGGTGTGGGAAAAGGTACAGAAGAAGGAGGTGTAGGCACTAAGCCTGCCCATCAGGTATGTCGTTCCTCCCTAAATGTGCTCATTTGCAGTAGGCACAAGCAGTGCATAAAGCAAAGCAGCCTCGAGCTGCCCAGCCCTATGCTGCTGGAAGGGAAACAGCCACAGCAGAGGGGCTGGGCAGGTCGGGTAGCAGTGTGAGGGGCAGAGCCACAAGACCACGTCAGGAGGAAGGAGGGAGAGCAGCAGCAGGCAGCAATAATGATGGCACAGCTAAAAACATAACTCTTCAGCAGGAAGGCACAAGTGCAGGTGCAAGAGGTGTGGCCATGATGGCCCGTGGATGGCCTGCAGTAGTCATAAGTGTGTTTATTTTGGCCACTGAAGCTCTCAGGCCCTGCCTGCCAAACGTATTTTAGGAAACTGGTTGGTGCCGAGGCCCTGCCATCGCAGAGGCAGCCTCTGTGGGGAGAGGATGCTCTTGCAGGAGGAAGGCTTAGTGAGGAAGTTGTGGTGCTGGTCCCCACCGTCCTCACCCGCTGGCACCACAGCCTCTCTGCCCTGTGCCCAGGAGCGGCCCCAGGCACTGCACTTCCTCTTTTGCCTTTAAGATGTGGTTTAGTGAGGGGAAGGAAAAGGAGAGTAGCAAATGTCTTTTTTTTTTTGGAGGAGAGGTGAATGTCTCGAGGAGTCTTTTTCCTGCTAGCAGCTCCAGTGCCGCTGCAGCGGGCACGGCTGGCTCGGGGGCACAAAAATAAACGGGTGATTCACTAGGAGGCAATCTCAGGAATGACAAGTGTTTAAAACAGCCTTAATGAAAGCCTTATAGTTTGTCAATGAAGGCGCATGTTCAGGTTACAGCAGTCCAGGTTGGCATAAGGCTATACAGGGAAACACTGCAGCAGCAGGCGGATTTGTGTGTGGGAGGGGAGTTAAGATGCTTCCTTGACAGCTCCAAGAGCTTGCACAGGAGGACCAGTGAGCGCTCCCACAGCAGCCGCAGCCAGTCAGAAACCACCAGACCTTATGTGGGTTAGTCACGTCAGGTCACAAGATGTGACATTAACTGGTGACTCTTGCACATGCTGCACATGGCATGTTTTCCTATACGGAGAGCAACTCGTTTCCTTCTTTCCTGGGAAAGTAAGCTTGTGAAAAAACTGTTTTGATTGGATACAATATTCTGGCAGCATCCAAGTTTCGGTGAGGCATTTAAATTAGTTTGAACCTCCCTTAATTCCCTTTCAAAATCTCATGTGGTCAGGTTTCAAAGTAGAAAAAAGTGTTATTTGAAGGTGTCCAAATAATGATTTTGACTATCCTATTTTTTCTCTCTTTCTTTTAGCTTAAACTGTTCTATGATTTTTGTTCCAAATGTGTAGGTCACTTCTCTCCCCCAAGAAACTTCATGAATATTTGTTATTATAGTCATAAATATAGCATGTCATATATATGTAAATATTTTGACTATTTTAAACATACTACGTGCCCAGATCCAGGTGTGAGCAAGCAATCATCATCATCATTCCTCTGCATTAGTCACCTTTTTCTGAAGAGGAATTCAGGTTCCTATACCTGCTTCATGCTTTTTTCGTCTCCAGCAAAATCAGCCACTGTGAAATTCCCAGGAACAACTTGTCTTGGTTCTTTGCTTTAAAAATCTCACACTTTGCCTACAAGTGACTGGATTTCCAAAGAGTCTCAGTGTTGTTTTTTTCTTTTCTGTAAGGAGTGGTAAATAAGGCTATTTCTAAAGAACTCTGTGGGCTCACACTGACACCAAACTTAGAACTCTGTCTGCAAAATCTGTTTCAGGGGAAGTCCCTAAAAGCAGAGCTATTCCAGTTATTATGAAACTTGTGTGAAACAGCCTAGTTCTGACACAGGCTGAAGGTCTGAGCTGTATTTATGACTAGGTCTTGATGTGGAAGCTGGACGTTTTCAGTGGTGTTACGAGTTACATTTTGGGATTTGCTCTAACAGCACTTTGAAGGAGGAGACATAACTAAAGGGGAAAAAAAAAAAAGGCAGCAAATAGTTATTTTGCATTTGAAGCCTGCCATCCAAAAAGAGCTGGATTTTGCCTTGAATGTGTACATTATTGGAGGAAATCTGTTCCGAGTTAAAGGAGTAAAATGTGTTATGAAAACTGAAGAATATGTGGATGTTTCCTGTAAACAGCAGTGTGAAAGAGGAGGATAGAAGTTGAATGGTTCCTGTGTTTTCACCCATTGCCCTGGCAGCTGAGAAAATAAATGGCTGATTTAGTGAAGCTGAAGTCGGCTGCAATAAGAGAATAATTGTAATTACCATCGGAATACAAAGCTTCCACACAAGGCCAATTACAGATGTCCTGTAACACCATGGCTATTTTTAATTAGCTTGTGTGTGGGAGAGGAAAAAAATGTTCTATTTGGGTGTATCGTTGGCATCAAAAATTCAGGAAACATTAGCTACATGACCCTTAAGCCAGATGAGTGAGCTTTGCCCCTGTCTCTCAGACAGTAACATGTGACTTTAAAGTATTTCCTATGGTCTGGGTTTTAGGCTGTAAATTCATTATAGACTTTTTGCTACCTCCTAGTAGCTTCAGTTTCATTCCAACAACCCTGTTAGACACCCTCTGTATTCCTAGAAAGTACATTTTTGCTTTGTATGGGTGATGTGTGACATCTGCTTAAACATGGAGGGTGGACGACCAGCTCAGATGCCCCAAGCCTGAGTTTCTTCAATCCCATGGAAACGCTTTTAAGAGAACCAGGAAAAATTCTTTTGTGGGCAAACACACAGATATTTTTTTCTTTGTTTCATTACTTCATGCTTGTTCTGAATTTTTTAACAGGAACATTCAGAGAACAATTTTACTTCCCTTATGTGCCTATGCTATAGTGCTGTCAGCAGGCACAGTCTGGGCTGTGGATTAAAATAACAGAGGAATATGAGTGCATCAAGATCTCTGCCTGAAAGAGTGGCCGTATAATGGGCTAGATGAAGATCTGGCTACAGCTTTTCAACTTTCTTCACCAGCACAAATTCATACACGCATCCGTATTGAACAGCCACGTGAATGTAAAGAAACAGTTGTTAAAAGAGCGTTTGAGGTCTTGTTACAAAACAATTCCCAGGAAGTGAGAAGATGAATTTAATAAAATAATATTCTGACCACTCTGCTTCCCGAGGATTTCGTAAACCTTAGCTTGTTCTCAAAACACTTCTATGAGCTACAGAAACTTCATCCCCAGTTTACATAAGAGGGATCTGAAAGGCGGTGAGTTGGAAATTTCAGTGAAGCTCCTGACTGTCACATACTTGCCTTGGTTTGATCCAACTGGCTTTCTCTCCAGGCACTGTAACATTCAATGCTTCCTATAGAAATTACACTGCGGGACTTCCGAGCCTGCAAAACCAGCATCCCCAGTGCAGCCACGACTGTTATAACAATACTGACCTTTTGTCATGTGCTTTAACTTTTTAAGTAATTTTTCTTCACAACATGGCTATGATAGACTGATCTTCGTCATTCTGAAGCATGCCCCAGATTGTTTTGCCTACTGACTACGGGTAAAGGCATCCTAGGTTAGTGCCATCCCTTCTTGCCCAGCAGCAGGTTGCTCACAACAATTCTCACCTCAAATCTGACATTCCCTTGGATGTACAGTCAGTGGTATCCCTCAGCCTTTTTCCAGAACTGTTATAATTAGAGCAAATTCAAGTTAACTCACCTGTTTGGGGTTGCATCTAGGTTGTGAGTCAGTCTTATCTAACCCCTAGAAATGCTTGGGGTCTGCAAATGAACCCAACTTCACTGTGGATGGGCTACGTTTTATAGCAAAGTCCCTACCCAGAATAACTTTGCCATAATTTGTTTGGGACAGGAACAGAGTTACATGGAGGCAATCATTTTGGTCTGGTCTTTGTGCCTGACAGAAAGCAACTGTTTCAGAGCTGGGGAAATACATGAAGCCTTCTAAGCATTCATGAAAAGTTTATTTCCCAGGGAAACAAGCTGTATTCTGCCAGTTTCGCTTTATATGGGTATTGTTTGGCTTTTGCTGTCATTTTTCTGTTGAAATTAATCCTTCCCAAGGCATGTGATACCTCTTCCTCGTGGCATTTCCATTAGCAGGATCTGCTTCACTGCCTCAAATGGCCTTTATTCAGGGCTTCAGCATATGCTTGAAGGAATAGGATGCTTTGAAAAAAGCCCAGGCCTTTATATGAAACTGTAGCCATATCTTATTACCTGGTCCTTGTGCTTCTTGCAGTCCTGCATTATGTGTTTTCCCAATTACAGCCTGTACCTTGTGAATGCCCATGGCTGAGGGTGTTCCTCTGAGGGAACAGCCTGCATTTCTCATGGCCCAGCATTTTGCAAAGGATGTGTTTTTATACTGTGTTTTAGCAGGGCTTTTGTATAAGAGGCCTCGAAGGGGCTTCAGGCTTCCACTGACAAACTGTGGGCAGTCCTCCAATGTTTCATACAATCACTGGGAAACTTGTGGGGGGATATTTTATCATACTTCTTGCTCTTCATCTATGACCTGCTGTAGAAGAGCCCTGAAATCATGCCTCTTGTGGAAGCAGTGCCTCTGGAAACTGGGACCAAATTCCTCCACAGAGGTAGCAAATCTTCTGTAGTCTGAGATGGTTTCTCGAAAGAGTTTCGAGACTCATCTATTATAAATCACATGCTTTGGCCATTTTTTCATATTTGAAAGAATATGTTTTTGTTTTCTAACTACACCCATTTTCTTAAAACAGCCATGCTTTGTTTATCTTGCAGAACTCTCCTGACATTACTGACTTTTTAATGTTTTATTGAATAATCTGCTCACCTAAGTGACTAAATTATTTCTCATGCACCCCCTTTTTCTTTCATCCAGACACATAAAGGAATGCTTTCCAAGGAGTCTTTGGGGACAACAGGGATATGTAAAGATATTTAAAGGATACGTGAAGATAAATCACATTTCCTTTCCAAACACTTGTAGCTCCAAAGTAAATATTCTGTATTGTAACTAGTTGGCTCACTATTTGAAAAGACCACTCTGCCTTTATGTTTCATATCCAAGTGGATCTGGTGGATAATCAGATAATTGTTCCCCTTACCATGGACAAATAAAAGGGAGAATCCCTTAGAAAATAAAGAAAGGGCAGATTGCTAAGGTTAATAGTGCTGAGTTCACGCTCAGAGTTTACTTGTTATTGGGTGTCTTACCAGTTTTTGCAAGACCTGTGAGATGTGGACAACTAAAGTTCACTTCAAGCTGGGACTCAACTGAAATCCCTTGCACATCATTGAGACTTTGTCCTCCAGACCTGAAAATTACATTTAGGCCTCTTAACGCCATGGACATCTTACCTAATTACTTCTAAAATAGATAAATAGATAAATAAAAACAGGACTGTGGTGCTTTCCTCTGCTTTTTGCTCAATCCTCCCTCCTGTAATTGGATCCACTTGGAGTTAATTAAGTTCTTGGTGCAAATTATGAAGTTGCCTCAAAGTTTATATTAGGCTCGCAAATAGCAGCAAGAGGAGGTAACACTTACTGATGACTCCTCCTTTTTGCCAGCGGGGAAGATGTGTTTACAACAGGCTGGGAAGGCAGCTGAACCCCTCCAGGAGGTAATGTCACTCAGCGCTGCTCATCAAACTTGGCTCTCCTGAGTCCTGAGCCATTCCTGTGGTTACCTGCACAGGCTCCCTCATTGTGTGCTCGCTTTGATGCTAAGAGGCACTGATAATTGCAACGTTGTGAAATACTTGGAGGATTGGCTTGGCTGAAGGACATAAATCCAGGAGAGGAAATTCTGGGAGGATGAATGATTTCACAGACCAAAGGCTTTACATGTTGACATGATAGCAATAAAATTCTTTAACTCTGAGCGTTGCAGTCTAAAGTGAAAGGAAACCCTGGCGGTCTCTAATGATTGATGCATTTAGACCTTAGTGTTTTCCCTGTGCTTCATGGTCAGGAGCAGAGGAAGGAGACTGGCACCAACACTATTCCTCGTGAGTCAAAACAAGAGCTTACTTGGCGGCTAAACCTGTGAGATCATGGAAGAGTGCAAGAGCAGCTCTGGGTTATTATTTCATTGAGCTGGCAGATGCCAAGAAGATCACACGATATGATTATCTCAGCCTCCAGGTAAGAAGCAGGCACTTTGACTCCCTGCTGTTGATTGCATAGCAGTAATACTGACTGGAGACAGTCTTTTCTGATTTCTTTTTTTTTCTTTTTTTTTTTTTTTTATAAGAATTGTGGCACGAGTGCTGCATCCTAATAGACCTTCTACACTATTTACTTGGCTCTGAGTCACTGATGTTGATTTTAAAACAGTAAGCAGAGAAAAATATTTAAGAACAGAAGTTATTTTTCTTCACTTGACAGCTTGTTGCCCAAAAAAGAGCGACATGATCATGCTGCTTCTCTTCACTTGCAAGCCTCAAGTGAGGGTTGTGGTTCTTTAAAACTTATACGAACTCCAAATGAGAGACACAGCAAGCAAAAAATAATAAATAAATAAATAAATAAATAAAAATCAGAGGATTGAAGAGATCAGATTTTAAAAAAGCTGACTATGCATCACATGGGTTTCCCAGCACCAGTTAGCAGTGATTTAGTTGGCTTCCAGGCAATGCAGAGAAATTAAAACCAAGCACCTCTCAAAATTCTTCCCTCAGAGTTTCCTGAAGTCCTTGTAAGCTGAAGAAATTCAGCTTGGCTGACCCAGAGGTCTGTGCTGCTGATTTTTATTATAGTTGTCCCTCGTGACTCTCTTTCAATTACAGGATTGCTGTTGTCACTGTAGCATTATATTTGCCAACACTGTATGATGCTCTGCAGACACTGCAGTAAATAATACAGTGGTAGCCAAACTCCTTTCCTCAAAGGTTAGTGGTCTTGAACAAAAAATAAAATTAGCCAGAGAAGTAAAAAATCAGCACATTTAAAGACTCAGCCAAGACAGCAGTCCCAAATGCAGTTCTGACTCTTCCTTACTATAGTACAAACAAGCAGTTTGTAGGTCTTCTGATAACCCATAGTGTAAAGTTAATTGTGTGTTTTGTTACTGAGATGCAATTTCACATCACGATATGAAAATCATATTAAGATTTTCCTAATGAGAGTGGCTGTGGAAACTCCTTCTAGTTCTGTACCTTCACTGATGTGCGTGAGTTAGGAAGCTGTGGGTGACACAATGAGAAATTTCTTCTAGATTTCATTTCTGCCTAGAACAATTTGGATGCTACTCCTTAATCAGTATTTTGTGGAAATATCGATCTGTCTGTATTGGGAAAGGAATGTTTGGGCTCTTTTTAGCTGTTCAGGAGCAAAGAATAGTTGTTGATTTTCTTGCACAGAAAATATGGAATTTGTGGTTAGAATCCAGAGCCGCAAGGAAAGTGTCCTCAGAAGTTAAAGGTGTTAAAACTGGCAAGAAAACAAACAAAAGAAAACTGAGTGCTGCAACACCTCACTGTTCCCCCATGCAGGTTATTCACCGTGGAGAGGACAGATCAAAAATGATGTGGCTGTACAATACCATGACTACAAATGCTGTCAGTGCCAGTCCTAGCTTGTGGGCTTCACTTTGGGCTGAATCACTACTGAAAATACAATGGCTCCTGCACTGCCAGAAGAAGCACCTGCCTCCTCTGGCCCACAGTGGCTCTGCAAAACAGAAAAACCCCTAAGGCTGGAGGACAGGAGCTGTGGATGAGAGCATTTCCTAGAAATAAGAAAGATTTGAAATCACACAGAACAGGAGAGACAGCAGAGAGGAACCCAAAGGAGGAATGAATACAAAATAAAACAGGATTTCTCCAGAATTTAGTGCTCACGTGTGTTTCTAGATTTGTTTCATCAAAAATCTGGATGCTACATAAACATCTTTACACAAGTTTATACTACCCAAGTGTTAACTGTATTGATTTGGAAGTGTTTATAGATGGACCACGAGGATGTCAGCAGGCTGATATCTTGTTTTCATCTTCCACAAGACAGGAACCACCTGAACAAGCCTACAGCAAAGGATTTGGGAAGGATGTGATCTCGAGTGCCTGATCAGAGGCTCATGTCAGAGGCCATATGTCAAAGACTGCTGAATGCAAGGCCGTGCAGTGCACAGTTCTTTTTGCTTTCTTTGTGGAACTTCCTTAAGAGAAATGTCACAGCTCCCCAGGGGTGATAATTGTGAAATTATCCAAGAGAGCTGGCTGCAAGCCAGAGGAGGAGGGGAAGGGAAAGACCCCTGGAGCAATGTAAAGCATACCAAGAGGAAAAGCTAGTACAACAAACGCAGTGGTGGTGTGGGCACTAATCCTGTTGTAGGGGCTCCAAACTACAATCCTGGGCAAAACGTGCAAGTTTCTCTTTCATTTTCTGCCTCAGGGCAGGAAAGCGCCAGGAAGTTGTGCAAGAAATGTTTCCCTGGTGGAGATTTATTAAAGAGATTACATTGCCTGGGGAGAGCAGAAAGGCTATTTCAGACCATGGAGGACCAAAATGGAATTAAGCCCAGAGACAGAGAGAAGGACTTGCTGTGGACTTTCGAGGTTGTCTTGAAAGGCAACCATTTGGGGTTGGAGATACGAAGACAGGAATTCGTGTCTGACTTTCTCCAAAGGGAGTGAGCATGCAGCTCAGAAGAGAAGTGGGATACCTGCTGTGGGTGAAGAGGAACCAAAGAGGGCTCAGAAGGGCAGTGGGACTATACCAATAATTCTTCCTTTTCTAAAAGTCTCCTTCATTTTACAGTCGCAGAAAGGTAGCTGCAACTTCTAGATGCATGGAGTCGCGGCTTGAAGTGAACACAGCTATTTTTGTGCCATCTGTTGGGCTCTACTTCGAGAGCTTCCACGTCAGGTAAATGTAAATTTGGGGTGGGTTCGGGAGAGGAGATGCAGCAGTCCTAGATATTAATGCCTGTGCCATATTCTGTAAAATGTAGTCATTGTAATGAAATGTGCTGTCTTCATTTGTCCTACACTGTAGTGCTGCATAATGAATTTGACGTAGGAGATGTTTGGAAACCAGTCTTTAATGGAGACGTGAGATTTCTAGATAATACACTGTGGCAGAAACAAACTCTGTGAGGGACTGTCAACACGAGCAAGACATCCACTGAGGTTACCAGTGAGACCTGGTGTAAATACATTCCAGCAAATTCAGAGGAAGTTACACAAAGGCTGTGCTTTACCCTGGTTTATGCAAAGTCCTCATTGTGCCTTATTCAGTAAACTTGAAAATGTCTCAGGCAAAGGAAAGAGGAAATTCCATGTTTTCCTTTGCAGCACAAGGAAATTACTGTAGCTTGCCCTAAAGAAACCTGCAGCAAGGCCTAGCTGCACTGAAATCAGTGGCAAAACTCAAGTGGCTTTGTGAGCTGGGGTTTCACATCTGGTGTTTTTCTTCTTGGCAATTAACCTCTCTGACATTGTGTCATGCCTTAAATCTTGGTCATGACTACACTTCTCTTGCCTCCAAACTGGAAAGTGCTGTTCATGGGCTGATACATTTATTGCAATTACTTCCTCCCTATTTAGCATACTATCTCTTATTTTTCTTGCGTCTTGCTATTTTCTTTTCCCCTGGAGAGAAGGTCAAGTTGTGCACTGTACTTCTTCCCGGTTGCATATATGTGTGTATTTTCCAGATGTCAATCCCCAGATGCAACTGGTCATTCAAAATAGGACCTGAAACTCTAAGAAGATGGTCTGTTTCTTGAAGCTAGAGTCTAACTTGATAGGAACCTTGACACAGGTCTGGATTTTTTTGCAGAGTGGCTGTTGCCACCTCTGAAGAGTTGTCTGGAAGTTTTTGTCAAAACTGACCTAGAACCACATTCAGAGTTAATCCTTGATTTCCATCTCTACAGCTCTGTGGCCTTGGTGAGACCAGTCAGACTGCAACAGTTTGCCTTAAAAGCCTGTTAAGATAAACCATATCTGAAACAAACCCATTATTTTGAAAAGGCTTGTCATTTTATATTCAATCACCAGTGCTGGCTCTTCCTTTGCACACAACTGTCTCATCTTGTTATGTATGTGTACATACATCTGAGAGGTCACCTACTAAGAACTGACATAACTTGGTTTTCATTTGAACTGCAAGGTTACACGCTTTGTTGCTCCTATAGGCTGTATTTCATTGCACTCAGGGGAATTTTTGCATTCCAGTAGTTCTTGCAACTGCAAACTTTCTGTATGTCTTACCGTCCTCTTTTTCAGAGTGCTCGTCCCACAGCTGCCTACCAGGGCTTGTGAGTGCTGATGCTTTCTAGTCTCATGGAAAAAAAAAAAAAAAAATATATATATATATATATTATATATATATATCAGTCTCCTCCATACTTTCAATGTGGGGAGACCATGTATGTTTTCCCTTTTGCTTCTCCTTTCTTCTCTTCCCAGCTCCATCCTGCCAGGGGCTTGTGGTGGTCCCAGTTGTTCTTGACCCCATTTAACCTCTCAGAGCGTCATCTTTTCCATTGCATCAGGAAACCACCTGGGAGGGAAGCAGTGGCAGAGTGGAGTATTAATGCCTGCCATTCTGGCATCTGTACACTGCAGGTGTGGCCCAGCCTGCCAACAAGGTACCACCAGTTCTGTTTCACACCATCTTGTATATGCTCAGCAGGGAACCTTAAACCCACTCCAACCCAAATCAACAGGTTTCTGCCCATAGATGCCTCCAGCTTGAAGCTGGATGTCTCCAGCATTTGAAGCTTGGTTCTGTAGACCATTGTGCGTTAGTAGCTCTCACTTTGATCAGTCTCCATTACTTAAGATATCTGAGCCCTTCATGGAGACCCTTTTAGTTTTAAAGCAGCAATAAGGATGTAATGCATATGGATAACAGATTTGAAAAAGAAGTGCTGAATGTATTAGAATAAATGCTTCACTGATAGTAGAGTTTTCAGAGAAGGCATCTCCATGCTCTTCCTCTGATATCCTATAACTAAACTATTCCATTTATGTTTGCTATAAAAGTGTAGCTGAATGTTCAGGTACCAAAAATACCTTTTTAATAGTTTTGTTTTAACCTTTCAAGTCTTGTTTCCTATGAGTCTCCTCTTTCCTACGTTGTAAGCTTTGCTGACTCTTTGCATTATGGAAATTACCCAGTCCAGGTTTGCAGTTGATGTGATTTGCAGTTTTTCAGCTTGCAGAACTCCCCAGAGGCAGTAGGCCAATATACATCAGTAAAAGAGATCTTCCTTATCTTTCTCCCTTGTTCAGACTTCCAAATGCATACACCAGTAAGCCCAGTGGAGATATTGTCCAGTATTTCCTATCAAAAACATAGCTTAAGCTTATAACTATGCTTATATGCTTATAACTATGGCTTTACAAGGTGATATAGTGGTCATGTCCTCTACTGTTAAACTTAGATTTTCAGAACTACTGACCTGAAAATGAGCTCATTTTGGATCAAGTGTCCAGAGCTGCAAGCTACGTCTGCCTCCATTGAAAGCCCCAGAGCACCAACCATCTCTGGTGGCAGCAAGTTTGAGCTGAACTTGTAAAAGGTTGTTCTTAACTCCAACCCTTTCGTATTATTTTATTTTCATGCTGGTTTAAATTGTATGGTATGTGATGGCTGGCTGTGAATTATCTGAGTTGTATGAGTTTGTCAAAATGCATTAATTCATCTTTTGCTGGACAAGAAGGAAGTGACATAGCAGCTATCAAAAAACTCGCAAACCTGTCCTTGGAGAGTGTCCTTAAAAGAACTCTTTTCAAATGATAAAAGTCTGGCTTATATATGTGTGAAGTATTTATTTTTCCTCTCCCCCTCGCAGAGGCATTCATTATGTCTCAGCATGCCCAGATTGGTTCTGTGCTGCACTCCTGGTGCACCCAAATACCTCTGTTGTCCCCAGTAACCAAGATTTGACTTGAGAATAGTTTTACTGATGTACATGGGCCACATCCAGTCATCCAACACGGGGCTTTAATGCAATTCCATGGATACATGGAATCCACTCGATTTTCAGAGTTCAAGGCTGAGTCTGACTTTGAAGATGTTCCAGCCTCCTTTCCAGAGCTGGTAACCGTCACGCTCTGTGAGGGTGGACTTACATCACTGCTGCTGATGGCAGAAGGCCCCTGCTAACCTTGGCTGAAGACATATCAACCCCTGAAGTTTCAACCTTTCTGTTAAATTTATTGGGGGAAAAAAATAAAGAATGGGCAAAGTTGAATCTCTTCCTTTATGGAGCTGTTCACGCAGCCGGGTAGGAAATGCCTGGAAATGCCACGTCTGACTCCCATAGAGCAACTCCTGATAAGGTGTTCTGCCAAGGGAGCTCTTAAAATGTTTATGCTGTTACGGACTGCCAACTGAAAATAGGCTTCATTTTCTGCAAAAATGAATAAAATCATGAAGGGAAATATATTTCGGGTAGTAAAATGCTCTTAAATGTCCTAGATTTCAAATGGAGAAGATGAAAGAGTTAGTGTGTATGTGTGTATAGAGAGCTCATAATTTCTTCATAGGGTTCTTTCTAATTCCTGGTGGAGAAAATGGAAGCTGGTGTTGCTTTCTGTCTATTACTTGTTATGTTCTTTTCCTGGAAAGTATTTTGGATGTGAAAATGAGGAGAAAATGGATTTCAAACCAACCGACCAAATACAGAAACTCGTTTTTCTGCTTCTTTTTGTAACCCATCTCAAAATGTAAAAGCAGGCAAATGAAAGTGGGAAGAGTTTCAGCGAAAACTCATCCTTAAACACTCTTCTTTGGGTCTGCAACATCTGCGTGGGGTAGGTGGGTGCTACTTCTGTGTGAGGAAAATACTGCCTTATCGTCCTTTCTGGTTTTGAAGGGGTAGGGCTCTGTAGAGTTTACCACACAGGAGGGTGTTATTGCCCAGAGCTGAGCACAACTGAGAAAAAAATTCTGACCTGCTACATAGAAGTAATGTCTAGACAGAGAGCATTTGAAGTGCTTAAGGGGAAACTTGGAGTAGGAACCAGTTATGACAAACTGAGCTTTTGAAGTGACAAATAGAAGCAAACACATATAAACTTTAGATCTGATAAAGTAAATGGGAGATTCGCTGCTGACTAAAACAAAATTAGAGTACAGGATCAGTCACAGCAATGAAGCCACTAAATTAGAGCGTGGTTTGTTTCTGCTGCCCTCCTGTTCCAAACAGGAGCCAGATGCAATTGCTTGTGGAGTCATGCTATGAAACCAGAAAGGTGAAGCCACCTTCTTTACAAACACAGGATTTCTTCTTTTACCTGATCCAGTTTGCAGTTTGGTTTGACAGATGTGTTTGGTCTCACAGTTTTACCAAGATTAATGATCTGCTGCATATCGGCATATTTAGGATCATTCAGGACCGTAGTGTCCTAAACTTGGCTCTGCTCTGCAGACAGCATAAGTGAGGCTGTATTCCTGAACATGCTGACATCTGGAGTGTTTTGACTGAGCACAACTGAATGCCTCCTTCATGGTGCTGTGCATTGTGAAGACACCAAAAGAAATGTTGCCTATGTCTGGAGAAATTGAACGGAAGCGTGACTTCTGACTATCAATGCTTCTAAAATGTTAGAGGTGGGAATATGTTACTGGGATGAGATTTTTCATTAAGGAATACTATTATCAAAGGCAAATGTTGTAGCCAAACTGGTCGTTTGTACCTGCACAAAATATCCTGAAGTTCAGAAGATCACATATAAGTTCTTGATCTGAATCAGGGCACTCAGGCTTGGTCTCTGCTAACCCAGAGAAGAGTCTTTGGCACTGATATAAAATAAGGAAAATACTGAAGCACTGGAGTTTCTTAGACTAGAGAAAACCATTTCACACAGAATACAAATTAGAAGAGATTTGTTAAAAGTTTCGGGAGAAAC